AGGGCAGGTACCTCGGTTGCGGGTTTCGCCCCTGCCCCCCATCAGAGTACGTGCAGGAGGCAACCAGTCAGTATGTCTGTCACATCAATGTTTCCCTCCCTCCCTCCCTCCCTTTCTCCCCCTCTTCCCCTCCCCTTCCTTCTGCTTTCTCTGAAAAGCAATGGAAAAAATTTCCTTGGGTGAGGATTAACAAAAAAATAAAAATAGCTATCTTTAGCACTTTCCAACTGTACTACTTAACTTGTCAAGGAACACATCTATCTCCTGTGAGAACATTTTAGCATTAAAGGACTTTTCCACTTGCAGACTACAGTTGAAACATTGTCCCTTTTTGTCTGAAGGGGCACAGAACCATAGAGTTCTGCAGTCACTGGCAAACCAAGTGATTTTTGGATCCAGTATTTATTACTCACCTCCTCCCCAGTGCTAACTTTAGAAGGTACTGAAGAGTGAAATTTTAAGGACTCTCTCAGCTAAACAGGGCTACTCTCCATTATTTAATATCAGTGTAATACATACTCAAGAATATTTTAGGTAAGTTCATTGATAATTGGTCAATAAGAGGTTATGAAGAGGAACCTAGAGGTGTTGGTGGTATGTCTTCTGAGCTCTCTTAGCTTGAAGGACAGCTGCTATTCTCTTCAGAGTACTCTGCCAAACTACTGCTGTTTGATGGAACATTTCTCTGGCCTATACTGGCAGGACTTATGCTCTTACACAGTGTTCAAGATGTCAGGAATGCAAAAGTTTCTGTATAGGAAATGTCAGTGCATGATGAGAAACCCAGATGAGTTAGGTGCATTTGTTTCCATTCAGATTCATCAGGACGTGAAACTCACCAAACATGTGCCTTTTCTCAAAAAGACCCTGGAGCTGTTAGTTTGCAGAGTGAAAGCCATGCTTGTCCTCAACAATTGCAGGGAGGCTTTCTGGCTGGGCAATCTCAAAAACCGGGACTTGCAGGTAAGCCTGGGGCCCTGCTAGCGATAATCTCCTATTCCCTTTCTTTGGAGAGCATTGGAAGGTATGTAAGGGAGGCCACCTAAGCCCTGCCCTGTCAGTAAGAGTGCTTTTCTCTTAGTCTGGGCCATTTAGCTCTTTAAGTTAGGGTACATTGCTTAAGGGCCCTGGCCACAGGCTGCACCCCTCATCCCAACTAGCGAAGGTGCCAAAACATGCCACTGATACAAACAAGGCCTCAGATATAGAGGAGCCAGATTGATAAAACCTCTCTCCAGCCAGGGAGGTACCTTTAAGTCCTGCTGAGTGTAGATTCATAACAACATTTTTGTATATGGACAAACTTTTAAAAATTATTTTTTGTTTTTTTTTTAAACGTTTGTCTTATTCCTGAAATTATTCTATGGCTGATTTTAACAAGTGAGCATTTCTAAGGTCTTTCAGTCGCTTCGACTGACTGAAATTTCATGTTGCTTATAGTGCTGCTTTGAAGTTACAGCATTTTTCAAGTAGGGTCCAAGCCCTTCTTAATCATGCTTACAATATCTGAGTTTTATAATCTTATATTTGAAAACAAAATAGCATCCTAGAGAATTAGCTTGCTTTCTTCACATCAACCTTCTGAGGTAGATACTATTGTTTTCATAAGAAAATTGAAGCTCAGAGAGGTTAAGTAATTTACCTAAAGTCATTCAGCAATAAGTGAGTGGAGCCAAGGTTTGAGTCCAGACAGTCCTGTTCCAAAGTTGATGTTCTTAAACCACTTCAGTATACTGTCCTTCAGCGTCTACATGGCCGTTCGTGGTTGGTGTATTGGTGCTCATATACTTTAAGGTATTTGGGAAATTTTAGAATTATATTCAACATTAACTGAAAGAGTCTGGCCTTATAAAATCTAGTATGATATTAGAATACAAAGGTGGATTTTTTGTAAAAACTACCTATTGTGTCAGAGCCACTCACATCTCAGAAACCTTGGGTTGATTATCACTTTTCTAGATGCTGGATCACAGTTTGGTGCCCATGTTTGACCATGTTTGAATGGCTAGAATATCTTCCTTTGTATTGCCTGTAAACTAAGCGTTTCTCCCCTGGAGACCCCAAATGTGATCACTTTAAACCCCGTTTGTCTTGGCCCATCACATTTAGGGTGAAGAGATTGTATCCCAGAATTCCCAGGAAAGCACAGCAGATGAGAGTGAAGATGACACATCATCTCAGGTCTCCAAGAACAAAGCAACAAAGGTATCTCTGCATAAGGCAGCAGAGTGTGGCACTGATGTTGCATTTTCTTAATTATTTTGAGTTAGTAAAGAGTGCAAAAGTTTCTGTTTCTGTTTATACTCAAAGACTTCTACACCTATCTCCATTCCCCCCAAAAAGGCTTCTGTGCTTATGAGTTCTGTGGGGGATAGGAAGAAGTCCTCACAATCTTAAAATCACTCTTGAGTATCTCAAGTTGTGGCATGTGTTATAGAGTTGCAAATTCCCTTCCATTATAACCTATTTTCCCTGAATTCATGTCTGAAATCATTTTAGAGGAGAGAAAAGAAGGTCAGAATGTTCTCTGAGTATTGAGACGAATGAGTTAAACCATTTAAACATTGCTTTACTATATAAAATAGAAATGTGAATACATTTGGTGAAAGCACAAAATCAAAAGCTACCACTACTGAGAACAAAATAAGGAGAGAGGTCCTTATTCTTTTCTGGGCTACTGCAGATACTTTTAAAACTTTAAGGAGCCTGGCTGGGCGTGGCTCAGCGGTTGAGCATCGACCTAGGATCCAGGAGATTACGGTTCGATTCCCAGTCAGGGTACATGCCCAGGTTGCAGGCTTGATCCCCAGTCAGGGGCATGCAAGAGGCAGCTGATCAGTGACTATCATCATTGATGTTTCTCTCTCTCTCCCTCTCCCTTCCTCTCTGAAATCAATAAAGACATACTTAGAAATGTACAAACAAAAAAAACTTTAAGGAAAGCTAGAGAAAAATATATGTGTTTTCAACATTTTGGTACAATTCAGCTGAGTTACGGACACCAAGAAACTCAGATTTAAGAACCTCTGCTGTGGAGCCTCTCTTTAATGAGATTTGAGGCTGCTGCAGAAATATCATCTATTATAAAAAATTATATTGTCCTCTGAATAGTACACCTCTCTACCTTTTTCTCATAAAAAAAAAAAACCTGACACAGACAATATCTTGTTAGTTCGATACTTTCTTCTAACCGCCCTCCCAGATTAGAGTTGCAGGCCAGAGAGAATTTGATGCTGGATTCCTGTTGATATTCAGCAGAATTTTTCATTTTAACAGACATTTCATTCTATAGTAAATGCCCACTGTGTTCCTATGTCACATACGTGCAGTAGAGCAGGAGGACCATGGCTTATTTTTAAATTATGCTAATTTGGTTGTTGCAGAATGGCATAAATCAGCTTCAAATGGTGTTCCTCCATGGTCTTGGCTTAGAGGTTATGGTAAAAAATGAGGGAGACTCATTTTTCAAATGAATGGTTTAAAACCTATTATTTGTTGTAAATTGATACTCTGCAATTTTAAATCCTGTGAGAGCAGTATTGTAATTCACAGGGTCACCCAGATAAATGCTTAAAGGATAAGTATTTAATTATCCTTTGTCCCTTAGGGTGGTGAAGAAGATGAAGCAAGTGATGGAGAAAAGGAGCAAGATAGTGATGAGACTGATGATGACTCTGATTAGACCACAGAAAGACTGATGCCTCCTCATCTCTGCCAGCCTCAGCATTTTGTGTTCAGAGTTTGAAATCTGCTGTCTAGCTTTCTCACCAGAAACATCCTATTTTGTCCTTAAAGTGGGGGCTTTATTGAATCAACTTAAGAGTGAATTTTATAGATCGTCTATCATCACCCTGGCTCAGGATTCCAGTGTAGCATTACTTACCAGTCTGGGTAAACATGGCAGTGCTCTGCTGCAGAGTAGCCATGATTCTGGGCTTTGGGAGCTAGTTTTGGATTTATGTTAGAATTTTGGTTTGTACCAATGTTACAAATAAATTGTTTTAAGTTCTGCTTCAGATACTTCTTTTCCACTTTCTGGATTTCCTTCAGTAGACAAGGATTAGATGAAATTGAATTGGGTTTTCAGTAGAGAAATAATGACCCCTGGTGCCAGCATCAGTTCTACCAACTAAAATCATGTTTCCTGTTGTAAGGACTATCTTTCTTTGAGATGAGAAGATCTTTGTGTTCTTTTTAGAGGAGTGATGAATTTCTTGTCAGTGTTTAAAGAAAGTGAAAAGGAATATTTGACTGCTTTCAAAAAAATTTTGGTTGTCATGTAGATATGAGACAGGGGGAAAAGGCATCATCAAACTCTTGTCGATTTTGTATATGTAATGTTTATTTTCACATTATTCTGAGTTATACCTGTAATCTAGTTACAACTATGTACAAAATTACTTGTAGTTTATTAGAAATATAGCATTAGGAATGCACTTCAGCTAAAATGGGAAGTCTCACGTCTTCAGCCAGAAAGCCCAGTTTCAGTGCTGCTACCAAGTTCTTTCTTCCTGGGCTATAAATATTGCTTAATATTTGTTAATTTTTTTGTACTTTCTTATAATATTTGTTAATATTTCTATCCACTTTTGTCTTCTCCAGTGGTATTAGGATGTGGCAGATTAGGTTTTTTTGTTGTTTTGGTGGAGGAGGTTTTTCTTTTTTAAAATTAATCCTTGACCCACATATAGATTTTTGACCACCTTCATCCTCACTTATATAAAAACTGATGTCTCCTTCCTTTACACCCCTTGATTTCCCCAGTTCATTGCGGTATTAGATGTTTAAGTGAGTTCACACTAGGCTTGTTTATATGGTTTGTTTAATGGTTCTTTATCACATGTACATGTCAATGTTAATTTGACTCTTTTAAATGGTTGTTCAACATTACAATGGAAATTTTTCTCCCTTGCTCTGCCACTGGCCCTTTTTTGGAGGGGAAGGGAAGAAAGGGACTCCTGAATTTTCACTGCTTGACAGAAAAGCAAGATAGTTGGGGCAATGTCAGTTTCCTTTACATCGATGGGTTTCTGCAAGCTTCAGGCAGATAGCAAAGGGCATGGTGTAAGGAACGGGAATCAGATGGGGACCCTTTACTTGGAGTGTTGCAAGGCAAAGGTACACTTCTTGTACGTTGCATACAGCAAGAGGATAGAGCGCAGCATCTGTTTGCACATGGTCACTGTCATCTGAATCTGAGGTTCCTTAAGTCCAGTGGGCCACTGGTGCTCCCGGCTGATGATTTTGCAAAAGGCTGACTTGTCTGAAACTCTGAAGGTCCCAGTCCACTTTGGAGGCTGAGCCGTGATGACCCTGCCAAAGACTGAATCCACTCCACTGAGACGGACAGGCTGGGGCTTCCTGACCAGCCCTTTCTTGTTGTTTATGGTTCGGAGCTCTGATGTGTGGCAGGGTAACTTGGGACTCACCCCAGTTTCCAGCAAAGGGCTGTCTAGGACTAGAGTGACTTCTTGAAAGCACAGCTGCACTTCAAGGTCAGAAGGGGTGTGTGGGAAGCAGGGGGAAGCCCTAAAGGGGTGCTTGGAAGAAGGTGTAGGTGTTGTGTGCCGCAGCCATTGGAAGCTCTCATCCAGTGGGGTCCATGGTGACCAGAGCTGGTATCCTGCCATTGATAGTTCTAAAGGAAAGGAATCAGAACATGGAATTTCCCTAGCATGGTTTTGGTGAGGGCATGGCCGTTCAAATTCACATCTTTTTGTCTCACATTAACTTGAACTTACTCTAGTTCCCATGAACAGATTCCAATAGATGTTAGGATACTAGTATCTCTATAAAGGGTAGTAAGGGATGGTAACAAGTATTGAATCTGTCAAGTGCTATGTGTACTAAAATTTTATTAAACCTTATCACAAGTCTCTGAAGGTAGGTTTTAACCCATTTTACAGATGAGGAAATACAGGGGTGGGCAGAAATAAGTTAATAAATAATACAATAATTAATAAATAAGAATACAAGAATAAACTTTTCATGTACTCACAACTGTAAACCTACCTTTGCCCACTCCTGTAGATTCATTCTAAATGGAGCATCCCACTTCACCATTAGGACCTGTGCTGTGTTGATAACTGCGAAAGACAGAATCTATACCTCTGAGGTTGCAGAGGTGCTGGCACTTCGTGATGAGACATTAATTGTGGTTAGAAGCTCAGAAAGGCCACATCTTACCAGATATCTGGGAATCTGAATCCCATGTACTTTATACCAGTGGTTATCAAAGTATGATCCCAGGACTAGTACCTTTAGCATCACCTGGGAACATGGTAGAAATGCAAATATTTGGACCCCACATCATACCTATAGAATCAGAAACTGGGGGTAGGGCCTTGCAATTTGTGCTTAAGCAAACCCTCTGGGGATTCTGATGTACTTACAGTTTGAGAATTTACACTGTTCCTTTTAAGGAACTTCAGCTTTCATAATTCCTAATTATGAAGACAGTCTCCTCTTGGCCCTAAAAACCTGTTTTCTGACACAAGGGAGCCATTCTTTCAGAACCCTGAGCTACTTAATTTAAGTTCCATCTCAGAGAAATTACACCAGGCTGGGAGGAAAAAGTTTTCAAAGACCAGTCTAAAAATTTCTAAAGATTTTCCTGGTTCTTCTAGGTGTGTTTTGTTTTCTTATCTATGGGAGCCCCACTGTGTAAGAACTTTATTTTTCTGAAGATAAAGGGCTGGGGGGATGTTGCTGACTCAAAATGTATCTGAGTAGAATTTAGGTCTTCCGTCAATCTATCTTAAAATTCTCCTGAATTCAGGAGAAGCTAACATTTTTTTTTCCATCATGCACTATTATGTTAAAGGACATAGCAGATCCCTTTTCTTTTTAGCCAAGTGTATTTCTCTGTCCCTTCTCCCACAAAAGGGAACAGCCACAGATTTGATTCCATATAGTAATGCTGTGGAAAGTTGACACCACCATAGTTTGTGAGACAGTAAAGTTCATTTTGTAACAGGAATTGGTGACATTTCAAACCAGAAGACCTGCCCCAACAATGGTTAGTTTAGAGGTTTGTTGATTTCCTCCAACTGTTGTGTTACTCCTGACCTATGCACGTCCTTTTACATACTGTGTTCAAATGTCTGGGCTGCTTTAGGATGAGAAACTGACACCCAGGAGATGCTTATCTATTCCAAACAGCTTCTGATCCTTGAGATCATGATCCTGAGAGCATACATCCAAGATCAGTGCTACTCTGGTACACTACCATGGCAAGATGGGGTGGAGGGTGTTAACATCTCTGAACATGACCCAAAAAAGTATTTCATCCCAGCATCCTTTTCCTGACTCACCTAAAAGCAAAAAGGTTCAGAGGTGTTTAAAAAAAAAGGCTTTGTCAGATATCCAGTCTAAGTATTCTGCAGAACCAACATGGGATGAAAAGGGCTTCTGGCCCTAGGTCTTTCCACCACTTTGACGCTAGGTTTACATAAAGATGGTTCACCAACCCC